TTTCTTGTTTTCTTTCGGTACTGGGAATCAAACTCAGAACCTTCTGCTTGCCAGGCAAGTGCTTGTGCTGCTGAGCTATATCCCTGGCAAGAGCCTAAGTTTAAATACCATCAATACTGCCTATAGTTAGACTACTTCAGGTTGCTTTTGTAACACTTTTTGCTTTACTTTTGTCATTGTTAAGTAGAAACAGTAATGGTGTCTATCTCACAGTCACTTTTGATAATTCAATCAATTAATAAAGGAAAATGATAAGCACTATATAAGTGATTGTAGGCTATCAAACATCAAACATCAATGGTCTTTTTATTTTCTGTAGCAGAGACTGAACTTAGGGCCCTATGCATGTTAGGAAAACGCTGTACCACTGTGCTACATTCTCAGCCCTTTTTATTCTTATTTTTTAATTTTGAAATAGGGTCTTGTTAAGTTGCCCAAGTTGGCCTCAAGCTCCCCAAAAGTCCCTTTTAAAAATCAAGACATATATTGGTCATGGAAGATATTTTTACCAGTGAAATTTCACTTTGGTATAATTCAAAGATGAGAAAGGCCTTTTCGGTAAAGGATGATGAGTGAATATCTTAGAGTAAATATCTTAGATATTGCAGGCCATATTCAATTATGCATTTACAGTGTAAATGCACTTATAGTAACTTTAAATGATGCGGTTATAATTTTAAAAATTTTATTTACAAAAACAAAAAGGTCATGATCTGCTAGTTCCAAGTACATATAAAACTATTTCCTTGTCAGTTGTGTCACATATTTCACTGTAGTTAACTTTCTAAACAACAAAATAAAGATGTTTATTATCTTCATAGATACATATAGGGGATAAAGCAAAATAAAGCTTAACTTCAAAGAAATAGAATGAGTTGAACAAAAGTCTTAGTATGTTTTTGAGCGAGCTTCAAAAATTGGTTTGTGTGACTATAAACATCATGGTTGAAATATCTAGCTGTTTTAATTTTTTAGATGGTAAAATATTAAAATTCAATGTCTTTTCAGAATTGATTGATCATTTTAACCCTAAGAAAACATAGTTACCTCAAGAGAGAAGTAATGGAGCAGAACATATTTATATGGAGAATGGCCTATAGTCTGGAAAACTACACGATTAGTATTATTTTTGCTCAAATTATGTTCACTAGATATTATGCTAAAATGATTAGGTTTATAAGTAGCTAAGCATAAGATCTTAGTTAAAAATGCAACATTTCCGTGTTTTTATTCATCTGCAGAATGGGTTAGGAGAGATTTCCTCTTACCAAACATAGCTGTAAGAGCTAAGAATATAGCAAGGACTAATTTACTACACTCAGAATGTTTCCATTTAATTGAGAGAAGAAAGGAAATAAAATATAAAGAACATAACACATATTTTGTCTGGATTCAATATTCAGTGAAAGAAATTAAGTGGAGAAAGTGTGATGGGGAGTAAAGATGAATGGCTTCTGCTTTATATAGGACAGTTAGGGAAATCCTGTCTCAAAAGTAGCACCACTGAGAAATGTGGAAAAAATGAATATCAAGTCATCCAATTATTCTTGTCAAGAAAACTCTCAGCAGAGGGAGCAGCAGCCCAAAAATTATTCTATGTAAGTATGATAGGAAAGCTTTTAGAACAGCAAGGTTGACAAAGAGGTTGGAGCAGAGATGTGTAATATGATTTCAGAGGCACACCAGGATCAGGGGCACAGTTGGGGATTTGAAGAATGTGTGAGTAAGGAGCAGGACATTTTAGAGGGAGAGAGAGAGAGAGAGAGAGAGAGAGAGAGAGAGAGAGAGAGAAACAGAGAGAGACAGAGAGAGGCAGACAGACAGAGAGACAGAACATGTCAGCACCATTTACATTTCCCAACATGCAAAGCATCTCTCTTCCTTCTCAGTCTCTGTGGTGAATTATGTGAAGCTATATCACCTTCCCTACTGATTCAACAGTGCAATCTGTACACCTCCATTTTTGTTCAGGTCCTTGGCACTTGGGATACACTTTCTTTAACATTTTAATACCAGCATCACCTTACATGCCTGCGGTGTCTGTGTGGTTTACAGCTCCAACATCCAGACACATTTCTATAACCTCCATTACCCAGTGGCTTTTATCTCCAAGCCACTTTCTTGGCACATCCCATTATTATAATTTCCTGATTCTTTCCTACCTCAGACATCTTAACCTTCAATAAACTAGTCTCCACCCCTAGCTTCCCGTCATTATTTCTCTCTCACTCTCTTACTCAGTATATCTCATCTCTTCTTTAACTGCATTCCGATTTCAAGTCCTTTGCGTTTTCACTTTATGGGCTAGTGTTGTTTTATAAATCCACAGGCATCTTTCTTTCCACCTCTCTCAGCAGGTCATCTAAAATTCACCTGTTCTCATCTTGCTATACTACTTCTCCCATCTTCTTTCTCAGCAAAGGCCATGCACTGAGAAATCTTAGGGCTAAATAAAAATGCCCCTAAAGGCACCTCTCACCTAGAGCTACATCTGCCCTAGTGTCTGTCCTTCTCCTTTTCTACTGTGAGCAGATAAATTGTTTTTCTTTTGTTCCTTGTAATCAAGACCACTCCACATTAAGTAAATTGGCTTCCTTCCACTTTCTGCTACAGTGGATTTCAGTAACCTATTTTTATTATGTAAAATTTCTCCATCTGTACTGATTGCTGCCCATTTCCACAGTGAGGATCTTGGCTCAGACCTACACAACTGTGTTGATGCCACACATATTTACTCTACCTTCCACACTTCTGGAAAAAAGATCTTCCTTTAATGAAACAGAAATCCACACAATACTTCCATGATTTATGAGTAAAATATACAGTGACTAGAAAGAAGCACTCAGTAAATATCTTCCCAACGACAATGTGTGTAAACCTTTCTAATATGGCAGTGACTCTAATGCTTATTTAAACCTGGCTCAGTTTTTATTGTGGGCAAAAACTTCATTCTCCTTCCAAAGCTGATATTAATTGGACCTTAACCCATCAAGTTCCTGTTGTTTATAACCATTTTCTCTTATTCTTATACAGTATTAACTATTTCCCCTGCATCCTCCCAGGTCACTGGAGACCTTAAGCACTGGACTTCACGTTCACAATGAATAAAGTAGTCTGTCTCTTATTCTTAGATGGGTCTCTAACTCTTTGCAGACTAAAATACTCCCCTTTTGTGTTCTGGGTTGTGATCCTCATCATCTATCATGCGGTACAGGCCAACACATAGGATTCCAAAAATATCTAATGAGCCACAGAAAAGTTGTCCAAAGGTGTTTCTTGGCTGGAGAGAGAAAAAAAAACATAGATGTGTTGGTCATTTTAATTAAGTAATAGTGAGCACTTATTTGAGTTTCACTTTCCATTCTTTGCAGAAGTGTGCAAGACCTGAAAGCCATTTCCTAGTATACATATGCTGGCAAGGTCGAGTGGCTAGGTAATTATTGAAGTTTATGATTGGTCTGGAAACTTTATTCTCAGTGGTTGCTTTCATCATTCTGATTCTTTCAAGAGCCTCTCATAGGTGTGGTAGGGCATATGCTTTCTTTTTTTTAACTATTGCTGATTTGGTAACCATGAAGAACAAACAATGTGCAACTGGCTGGTAAATCCAGTTTTTGAAGTACATAATGAGTTAGAATATTAAATGACCTCTTCCTTCCTATCATCTTCTTCCACTTTAATGCATACCACAGGCACAAGAAATCTCCTTGACCTTGCTCTTTGGTTGTGGGCAACAAAGTCACAGTGGGTGGAAAAGGAGTAACAGATAGGTCACATAGGTAAAGAAATGTCAAATGGGAACAGTCTTTTCAGTTCTATGATTCCTTAGGGACAGAGAAAAGTGAGTACAAGACACCCATGCAGGAAATAAAAGAAAGGGTGAAGCTCTATCTACTGTTGCCTCTGATACCAAGAAGTGGCCCCCAGCAACAGTTTCCTGGGTTTATAATCTCTCACACAGCAACTGTGGGTGAAGAATCCAAGACCATAGAAAATTAAAGGATCAGATCACACTGTAAAACCTTTACCATGTTGTTTGCACTTCAAATCAAATGTCCAGAACACAGGACATGTTCTCTTTGGTAGCAAATGTCAAGACTCACCAGGCACAGAGGCCTGGATGAGCGTGCTCCTTGTGAAGGGGATTCTGTTGATGTCTTTTGTGCCAACAAAGATGTTTTCTTGTCAGTTCTACCCCTAGCAATGACACTTGACAGATAGATGCAGTGTTGATCAAAACTAAACTAGAAGATACCCGCTGACAGACAGACTACTTGTGTCCCAGCTATACTCTAGTCTGATTCCCAAATGCCCACGTGCCTCACTGGGATTTGCCAGAATTCTTATCTTCCCTTACTGTTCAGCAGCTCTCTGGGGTAAGAAGAATATTCCACTGCTTAGCTTGGTGAGGTTCTCACATCAAATCACAAAGTTCTGCCTGATGCCAGCTGACCTGATCAGATTTCTTCAGCATTTCAGGCACAGTGAGAACAGCCCAACCCTGAGTCAGACCGCCTCCAACAGACACCCGCTCAGACACTGGTAGGCAGTGTGGTGGCCAAAGCTCAGCCCTGGCTTTTACGGGCCTCCACTTCTTGATTTTTTAAAAGGGACAAATAATAATGATTACTAGAAAAAAGTTTAGAGAGATTAAGGGAAAACTAACATGCACAAAAAAACTATTCAGTAGGCATTGGCTATTATAATTATTACCAGTACCCTTGTCAAAATATAAAGTTATTGGGTGTCTTGGTTCATTTTATGCTGCTACAGCAGGATAACTGAGATCATGTAATCTATAAAGAACCAAGATGCATCTCTTACAATTTGAAAGGATGGGAAGCCCCAGGTCAAGTGACCTGCATCTAGCAATGGCTTTCTTGCTATGTCATTTTATGGCATAAGGTGGAAAGGCAAGAGAGGCCTCTTTGGAAATTAAGGGAAGGAGGATGGATTCATTCTTTTATCAGAACCTACTCTTGTTGTAACCAACCCATTCTTCCAATAATGCCTTTAATCCATTCATGCCCTCATAAGGTCATTACTTCCTAAAGGCTTTGCCCCTTAATACTGTTACATTAGAGATTAAATTTCTAAAACATGAAATTTGGGGAGAAACATCCAAATCAAAACATCAGGCCAAGGGCTGGGGATTTAGCTCAGTGGCAAAGTGCCTGCCTGGCAAGAGCAAGGTCATGAGTTCGGTTCCCGGTACCGGAGAAAAACCAAAACCAAAAAAAACAACCCAAAAACAAAAAAAAAAAAAAAAAAAAAAAAAATCAGGCCACTCATCTTATAGATTTGAATTATTTAGATGAAAGGTAGATAAAAGCAAAAATGTTTTGTCTCCTGGGAGTGTTGCCAAAAGCCCCATCAACTGTGAAAATACACTATGAATTGTAAAATCATGTATGAATACAAGATTGCATTAATTTCTTTGTCATTACCATTGCTATCATTTCTGTATGGTAGACCATCTATGAACCAAAACAGTCTGGACTGTTTTCAGAGAAAGAAAAACAAAGCTATTATGATAAGAAAACACTCACTGTAATGTCTGATAAGATGGTTTGATTCAAGGACAGCAGCCCTAGCTTACACCGCATTCTTCCAGACACAAATGTAGAGCAGCTGTCAGAAGGCTTACAGACCTTCTCTTTATCCAAGTGCTGTTCCAGCTGAGAGCTGATCCCTCCTGTCACCAGCATCTGCAGTAATTCCAGAACCCGGTAATTATAGAAAGCCTGAAAAGCAAAGAGAAACCATGCACAAAGTCAGAAGAGCCAACATATGCATGGTGGAAGAGTTCAGACTCAGAGACTTGGTAGGTGCCACTGTTTGAGATGTACTGCACCATTATGGAGATCAACTGCAAGTCGGCCATCTGAGTAGGGTGCTGGGTTAGGCAGCACAGGGAGAAAACAACCAGCTCTAGTTCTTATTTTCTTGGAACATACACCATAAAAGGAGAAAAAAGTGGGTAATGATGCTGACACCAATAATTCTCCTCCTCCACAAGTGACCAGAGGAATATATTAGGCCACAGATATCGGGGGCTGGGGATTTAGCTCAGCGGCAAAGCGCCTGCCTGGCAAGCGCAAGGTCGTGAGTTCGGTTCCCGGTACCGGAGAAAAACCAAAAAAA